ATTTATTTTCTGTTTTGTGCTATGTTGTAAATATTTATGCACAAAATTTATTTATTTAAAACACATTCTTTTAATAAATCGGAGGGTGATCTGAAAATGTCATTAAAAAAAAAAAATATTTTTTTAAGAAAGAGATGTTAACATAAGAAGTATCTATCATCTATCTATCTATCTCATCTATCTATCTATCTATCTATCTATCGAGCGAGCGAGCGAGCGAGCGAGCGAGCGAGCGAGCGAGCGAGCGAGCGAGCGGAGCGAGAGAGCGAGCGAGCGAGCGAGCGAGCGAGGAGCGAGCGAGCGAGCGAGCGAGCGAGCGAGCGAGCGAGCGAGCGAGGCAGCGAGCGAGCGAGCGAGCGAGCGAGCGAGCGAGCGAGCGAGCGAGCGAGCGAGCGAGCGAGCGAGCGAGCGAGCGAGCGAGCGAGCGAGCGAGCGAGCGAGCGAGCGAGCGAGAGAGGCGAGCGAGCGAGCGGAGCGAGCGAGCGAGCGAGCGAGCGAGCGAGCGAGCGAGCGAGCGAGCGAGCGAGCGAGCGAGCGAGCGAGCGAGCGAGCGAGCGAGCGAGAGGCGAGCGAGCGAGCGAGCGAGCGAGCGAGCGAGCGAGCGAGCGAGCGAGCGAGCGAGCGAGCGATCGAGCGATAGTATCTATCATCTATCTACTATCTATCTATCTATCTATCTATCATCTATCTATCTATCTATCTATCTATCTATCTTATCTATCTATCTCTATCTATCTATCTACTATCTATCTATCTATCTATCTATCTATCTATCTATCTATCTATCTATCTATCTATCTATCTATCTATCTATCTATCTATCTATCTATCTATCTATCTATTATCTATCTATCTATCTATCTATCTATCTATCTATCTATCTATCTATCTATCTATCTATCTATCTATCTATCTATCTATCTATCTATACTATCTATCTATCTATCTATCTATCTTCTATCTATTATCTATCTATCTATCATTGTCTGTCTTGTCTGTCTGTCTGTTGTCTGTCTGTCTGTCTATCTGTATATCTGTCTATCTGTCTATCTGTCTGTTTGTCTGAAAAAATTAACCCCCATTTTTAAACTATATCTGGACTAAAAGCCTATTTTTAACAAATCACATTGCTTATACTATTTACTATTCCATAATAACTTTAAAATTATCATATTCTATTAATGAAACTAACTTTTAATACATCCTCGTATTTAATTATATAAATTTCTCTGTAATATAATTTCATTTTTGAATTAATAATTTAGTCGATGCAAAATAAAAACAAAGAGTGAGAGATATAGAATGAATGTAGGAATTATTTATGCGTACGAGTAGGTATGATTTTATTTTATTATACCATTGAATTGAATAATAAAGTTTTATAATACATTTATCTTAAAATGGTTTTAAATTGTAAAATATGTGCAAATAGTAGAGATTCACAAAAAAAGTTTATAATTGATAATAAATTTTACTTCCCAATATAAAATTTAAAATTTATTTTATTATGGAATCAGGGGAATTCAGCCAAAAGAGCTTTCATTTAGCTTGAAACTTTTTTTAAATTTAATCAATATTTTTAAGTTGGAGTTATATTAGAATTCTATTTGGTCCACCCTAATGATTGAACATGCAATCGTATAAACAATTACGAACAGGCAAGTAAATAGTGGTAAAAATATAAATAAAAATGCGTATATTTGCCAAAGGACAATTAAAAAAATAATATTACAACACATTCCCCTATTAAATATTTCCACATAATTTTATCTACTTACTTAAATTACTGATATTTTCATAGAAGCATTCAATTTAAATTAAATTTTAAGAAAATATTACAAAAAAAAAAAAATTATATCGATTCGGAATCAAATTTCCAAGAAGTTCTAGTGCGATTTCCTTAAATAAACTTCGAACTTTCGCTACTTTTTAACATTTAGACACAATAGCATCATTTTGTATCAACCTTTATGTGAACACCCCTAATAGAAGTGTTTAAAATCATAAGTAACTTAATATTTAATGTATTTTAAATATAAATATTTCACTCATTTATGCTAATTAAAAAGTTTTGTTTGATGTGAGTTGTTGTGATATTTTTCCTGTTAATTTTTTAATAATTTCAAAACACACACATATGTATCCAAGTATTTGCATTTATTTTAATATATATTTAAAGTTAAAACGAATTTTAAATGCAAATCTCTAAATTCATAAATGAAAATTACATCTAATGCAACAAATTCATACAATTCATACAATGTAGTTTGGAGAATAAAAAAACTACTCTAAGTTAATTACTTTATTTTTGTTTAAATAAGCAGCATTAGAACAACATTTAATGGCAATTAATTAATTATTGAAACAAAGGAAAAATATTGTACAGATCAGAAGATCTTTTTCGAAATTCCCACTTTTTATACAAAATTTTCGAAAATTACTCTTTTTACAGAAAATTTCGAAATTCGCTCTTTTTGTAAGAAAATTTTCAAATTTGCTACATATTTGAAAGAAAATTTATCAAATTTTTGATATTTTCGAAAATTTTCGCAATTCACTCTTTTTATAGAAAATTTTCGAAATTTACTATTTTTATATAAAATTTGGAAACTCATACTTTTTATAAAAAATTTTCAAATTAAGTTTTCGGTCAATTACGAATTCACTCTTTTTATATAAATTTTTTCAAATTCACAAATTTTATAGAAAATTTTTCGAAATTCTCTCTGTTTATAGAAAATATTCTAAATTCACTTTTTCAAAATTCACACTTTTTATAGAAAATTTCGAAATTCATATTTTTTATTTAAATTTTTCGAATTAAGTTTTCAAAAAGTTTGGAAATTTATATTTTTTTTTTAAGAAAATATTCAAAACTCGCCTCTTTTAAAGACATTTTTTGAATTCAAAACTCATTCTTTTTATAGAAAAATTTTAAAATTCACTCTTTTTACAAAAAAATTTCAAAATTCTCTATTAATAGATAATTTTTTCAAATTTCTCTTTTTTTAGAACTTTTTCGAAATTCTCTCTTTTTATAGAAAAATTTCGAAATTCACTATTTTATAGAAAAATTTCAAAATTCACTCTTTTGGTTGAACATTTTGCAAATTCACACTTTTTTATAGAAAATTATCGAAATTCACTATTTTTATAGAAAAGTCTACCATTTTTATAGAGAATATTCGAAATTTACTCTTTTATAGAAAATTTTTAAAATTCATTATTTGTTTAAAGAAAATATTCGAAATTCTTTATTTTATGGAAATTTTCGAAATTCACTCTTTTTATAGAAAATTTCTAAGTTTACTCTTTTTAAAGAAACTTTTCAAAATTCGCTCTCTTAATGGAAAATTGTCGAAATTCTCTCTTTTTATAGAAACTTTTCGCACTCTTTGCAGAATATTTTCGAAATTAGCTCTTTTAATAAAAAATTTACGAAATTCACTCATTTTATAGAAAATGTTCGAAATTCGCTATTTATTCGAAATATATTCAAATAGAAACTTTTTCTTATAGAAAATTTTCGAAATTATAGATAATTTTCAAAATTGGCACTTTATAGAATATATTCGAAATTTACTCTTTTGTAGAACTTCATTCTTTTATTAGAAACTTTTTGCAATTCGATTTTTCTATAGAAAATTTTCGAAATTTACTGTTTTTATAGGATATATTCGAAATTCACTCTTTTAATAGAAATTTTTCGCAATTCACTCTTTTTATAAAACTTTTCGCTCTTTTCATAAATACTTTTCGAAATTTGCTCTTTTTATATAAAATTTTCGAAATTCGCTCTTTTCATAAAAACTTTTCGAAATTTGCTCTTTTTATATAAAATTTTCGAAATTCACTCTTTTTATAGAAACTTTTCGCAACTCAATCTTTTTATAAAAAAATCAAAATTCATTCTTTTTATATATTATATTCGAAATTTAATGTTTTTATAGAAATATTTCGAAATTCCCTCTTTTTAAAAAAACTTTTCGCAAGTTGCGCTTTTTATAGAAAATTTTCAAATTCACTCTTTTTATAGAAGCATAGCAATTTGCTATTTTTATAAAAAATTTTCGAAATTTAATCCTTTAATAGAAGATTTTCTAAAATTTCCCTTTTAGAACTTTTACGAAACTTACTCTTTTTCTATAAACTTTTCGAAATTCTTTCTCTTTATAGAAAATTTTCGAAATTAAATAATTTTATAAAAAAAATTCACCCCTTTTTACAAAAATCTTCGAAATTCGCTCTTTTTATAGAAAAAAATTTACGAAAAAGTTTATTTTTTATAATTGTCTAAATTCATTTTTTTAAAGAAATTTTCGGACATTTCCTCTTTTTTATTATACAAAATTTTCGAATATTTCTCTTTTTTATAGAAAATTTCTCTTTTTAAGTTTTCAGATATTACTCATTTATATAAAGTTTTCGAAATTTTCACTTTTTTATAGAAAGTTTTCGAATATTTCTTTTCTATGGAAAATTTGCTCGTTTTTATAAACAATTTGCGAACATTTCCCATTTTAGGGAAAATTTTTTTAATTTTCAAAAAATTATTTTCTTTTTAGAAAATTTTCGAAAATTTCAATTTTTTATAGAAAATGTCTTTTTTATAGAAATTTTTGCAACGTCTATTTCTATTTTTATAGAAAATTGTAAAAATTTCATCTTTTTTAATATTTTCTCATTTTACTTCGAAATATTCGTTATTAAATTTTCCAATTTTTGTTTGTCGCATATTTTTATTTCTCTCTAAATTTAATTTTATTTCTTTTTTACTCTTTATGGTAACATTTTTGAAATTAATTTTAAAGAGCACATTCCAGTTTTAATTTTTGCTTGTACTTTTTTCTTCGTTTTTGTTGCTGTATGTAGTTTATTTGTGGAGTATTAAAGGTAATTAATTCTTTTAATTTTATTTTATTTAAAAATTTTTTTGTTGGTTGGATTGGATGTTTTGTTATTGTTATTGTTGTTGTTCATTCTCTATTTAATTCACTTACCTTTCCTTTAATTGGTGTAGTGCTACAAATTGGATTTGTATTTGGCAGAAAACCAGCATTTGTAACAGAACTAGAACCAGCAGATTCAATGCCACTAACACTAATACCACCACCACCACCGATACCAGCACCTGGAGCAGGAGCAGTTGTACTACTGCCATTATTAACAAACCAGGCTGGTTGATGTTGTTGCTGCTGCAGCATGTGATGGGGATGTGGATGTTGCTGATGATGTGGATGCTGTTGGTGTTGTTGTTGTTGCATTGTATGCAATGGTGGTCCATTATATCGAAATGGTGGTGGTTGTTGCTGTTGTTGTGCAGGACCCATAAACTGAACAGTCTGCATATTCATGACTTTGGAAAGTAGGGTGTATATGTGTTTGTTGGTGAACGATGACTATGAGAATTGGTGAGATGATAGAATGTGTGTGGAGATGGCAATAGTTTTAATTGTAGTGCTAGTAGTTAATGATACAAACCCAGCTTGTTGCTACACTCACACTTGGGTATTCGGTTCAAGTCCATACATATACACACACACACACTTTAAAACACTTATGAATTTCTTTTCTGAGAGGTGCAGAGAGTGGGCGTTTCAGGCGTTTGGCACATACGAGACAGACACAGAAGCACAATTACAAACACACACACATACACAAACAAATTTTGTACACAATTAGAATTAGAAAAATCTAAAAAATACAAAAAAAAAGAAACAGAATTTTAAAATTAAATAGAAATAAAATGAAAATAAAATTAATATTAAAATAAAATTTTATAAATAAAACAAGTGGGAAGATAAAGACGGTCTAAACCGACTATAGAGTGCACTACATATGAATTTTTTAAGGTGTTAAGGAGATAAAGGTGATTAATAAATCCTCTGATAGAAAATTTTCGAAATTTTCTCTTTTCATAGAAAATTTCTCTTTTTATAGAAAATTTTGAAAATTTTTCTTTTTATAGAAACTTTTCGAAAATTTTATAGAAAATTGTCGAAATTTTCTCGTTTTTATAGAAAATTTTCGAAAATTTCTCTTTTTATAGACAATTTTCGAAAATTTCTCTTTTTATGGACAATTTTCGAAAATTTCTCTTTTTATGGACAATTTTCGAAAATTTCTCTTTTATAGACAATTTTCGAAAATTTCTCTTTTTATGGACAATTTTCGAAAATTTCTCTTTTTATGGACAATTTTCGAAAATTTCTCTTTTTATAGAAAATTTTCGGAAAATTTCTCTTTTTATAGAAAATTCTCGAAAATTTCTCTTTTTATAGAAAATTTCTCTTTTTATAGAAAATTTTCGAAAATTTCTCCTTTTTTAGTCAATTTTCGAAAATTTCTCTAGAAAATTTTCAAAAATTTCTTTTTTTATAGAAAATTTGCAAAAATTTCTCTTTTTATAGAAAATTTTCTTTTTTTATAGACAATTTTCGAAAATTTCTCTTTTTATAGACAATTTTCGAAAATTTTCTTTTTATAGACAATTTTCGAAAATTTCTCTTCTTATAGACAATTTTCGAAAATTTTATATTTTTAGATAATTTTCGAAAATTTCTCTTTTCATAGGAAATATTCGAAAATTTCTCTTTTTATAGAAAATTTCCCAAAATTTCTCTTTTTTATAGAAAAATTCCCAAAATTTCTAGTTTTTATAGAAAATTTCCCAAAATTTATTTTTTTTATAGAAAATTTCCCAAAATTTATCTTTTTTATAGAAAATTTCCCAAAATTCTCTATTTTATAGAAAGAAAAACTCTTTTTCATAGAAATTTTTTTTCGAAAATTTATCATTTTTATTGAAAATTTTCAAAAATTCATCTTTTTTTAAAAAAATCTTCGAAAATACCTCTTTCTTTATAAAAAAATTAAAAAAAATTGTCTTTTTATAGAAAATGTTCAAAAATTGCTGCTTTTATAAAACTGTTCCTGATTGTGTTAACTTATTACATGACATCTTCTGCTGTGTAGCGCAATGAAAACATGTTTTGTACTTACAATTTTAGTTGCTACTAATGTTGCTGTTTGAATTTAGGACACTGTGCAATTAAATATTTAATAAATAAATTTAAACAAAAATGTTTAAATTAAAAATAAACTTTAACCTTATATAAAAAGCATACGAGCAGACACAAACAACTATAGGTTTTAGTTACAGATGAAGCAATGAGTTGCTTTTGGGGGGTAATAGAGTGAAAGGGCATATTAAAGATAAATACAATTTTTTAGATATAAACTTTTGACCTGTTTTAAATTAAAGTTTTCTTTTTCTACTGTTTTTCCTTGTTATAAAAGCAAAACAAAATTAAAATGTGTAACGCATAAATCTAAGAAATTACAATAAATGTGCAGTTGAAATATTTGTATGGAATGAATTCGTTTTGATGCAAGAAAAATCTAAGTATCGAAGTTTCCACAAACCTTCGTCCTTGAGAAAGTTATTGATCTCATGACAAAATTGTATCTTATTTTCGAGTAAGGATCTTTTAAAATGAAGCACTGCTTCAATAATATTGGGTACCACCCTACTATACATCTAACTACGAATATGTGGTAAAATACATTCAAATAATAAAATATAGAATTGCATTCGCTGTGAAATACACAAAAATATATATGTATATTTATATATGAATATATCTATGTAAATAAGAGTGCATGTGTGTTAGTGCATTTTAGTACTAGTCATAAATTTTACTTATGTAATATTAGGCATCTGGCTTTAAAATTACTGTATTCAACATAATATATGAACTCATATGTGTCTCTTCGTATATTTGCCTAAAAAATTTTATAATATTTATGAACACGTAATTTTCTTAAAAAGTTAAGTATTTACCTATGCCCTTATTAGTTTGTGATAATTACCAAGTTAATCGGAGGAGAAAGGAGAACGAATAAAAACAGAATAACTCACAATTTAATAATTGCATATTGCAGGGGTATGCCAATTTAGATTGTGACGAAAAAAGACCTACCGACCGACCATCTAGGGAGGCAGGGAGCGCGAGTGAGCTAGCTACGAGCGAGCGAGCAGCGAGCGAGCGAGCGAGCGAGGAGCGACGAGAGCGAGCGAGCGAGCGAGCGAGCGAGCGAGCGAGCGAGCGAGCGAGCGAGCGAGCGAGCGAGCGAGCGAGCGAGCGAGCGAGCAGCGAGCGAGCGAGCGAGCGAGCGAGCGAGCGAGCGAGCAGCGGAGCGAGCGAGCGAGCGAGCGAGCGAGCGAGAGAGCGAGCGAGCAGCGAGCGAGCGAGCGAGCGAGAAGCGAGCGAGCGAGCGAGAGAGCGAGCGAGCGAGCGAGCGAGCGAGCGAGCGAGAGAGCGAGAGAGCGAGCGAGCAGCGAGGCTATCTATCTATTATCATCTATCTATCTATCTATCTATCTATCTATCTGTCTATCTATCTATCTATATA